GGAACTGCATAAGAGTTTACAGGTAAGGTAGTGTGGTAATTTGAACCTGTACATGAACTCAAAGTGCTGTGTTTATGAGAGTTCACAGGTAACCCATATACTGGACTTGCTGTCTGCGTAATGGAGGGGCTCATGTGAGTACCTGTACTGGGGACTGCAGGTACATACATACTAGGGACAGCTGTCGGCTCTCTAGGAAAACCTGTACACAAATTCTCAGCAAAATGTGAGCAAACAGGTACAAAAGGCATCTGAGTTGTGGGACCACAGGTGTGAAGATGGCTCATTTTAGGCGTAACTACACTGTTTGTTGTCTGTGGCTGCTCTGTAGTGGTACTCACAGTTACAGAAACTGTATCTGAGTTCCCAATAAAAGGTGTAGGTTCTCCATCTCTCACAACGTCTGCCTGAGAACTCACAAGCATTAAACTTGTATCTGAGTTACGTAAAAATTGAGAGGCTTCTTTATTTGAATGAACAAGTGGTTTAGTTCTGTGCATGTCAGCTCCTTCACACGGAAATTCACATTCGCTTTCATTTTCTCTTACAGTATCTACAGAGGAACACGAAACTCGTGAGGTAGGTCTGGATTCTTGAAGACCACGACGTTTCCGTCGACTTCTACGTCCTGCCATTGTGATTTATTTTTATTTGATTTGCTTAATAAAATTTTTGTTTCTCAAACACAGACAAAGCGTTGTTATGATTCGATCACAGGACCCGTAAATTTAAACGGATCCCGCCGTGGATGCCAAAATTGTAACGCTTCGGAACGCCTGCCTTGTGTTGAGAACAAAAACTTCGATGTAAAGTTTTATAATTTTATTCAGTAATACATGAACAGCGAAAATAAATAACAATGTTTGAAATTCACACAAGTCTCAACCCTTGGGACATAGATCTAAGACCAAAATCAGTACAACTACTGATATAGAACTGGGCAACTGACACTATTTCCAGTAAATTTATAATTTAAGCAAATTCCCCCGACCAAAATAAGACGTAAAGGCTCTCTATAAATGACTTATAATTAATTTACAAATAAATATTCCCGCTACTAGTTCAACTACTAGCACGCAGCAGAAATATTTCCTAACTCCTAAACTGGGCTAAAGAAGATAAAAATAACTAGTTCACAACTAGTAATTATAAATAAAACTAGTACAATTACTAGTAATAATTAATTTAGCCTAACCTAACATTATGTATTATGTACTTCAGTCACAAAGATACTGAACTAGTACACACCTTAAATTACTCTGGACAAAACTGGCAACCTTTCCCTAGGTCACAAAGAAAACAAGAGAGCAAACGATATTCAGAATCTGGGTATTTATAGAATTAACAAAACCCGCAATAATTCATAACCAATCATAACTAATAATTCCATCCCGTAAATAATAATCAGCCAATCAAATGTAATCATCGTCCCGTAATGAAATCTCACTCTCGTACATCGTATGTAAAATTATTACAAAACATAAATAAATTAAATAAATTCATAAAACATAAAGTTACACTTTTAAAAGCTCATTTAACACTGTTTAACATTTAATTTAAAAAGAATTTACAATCAAATCTTCCGCCGAAATAACTCCAGTAAAAATAGATCACCGTGAAGCATCACGGGAAAATACACAAGTAAACAAAGTATGGCGGCGGCAGAAGTTTCAGTGAAACCTGTGTACTCGAAGACCATAAAACATCGATCACACAAGAAATAAGGTAACTCTAAGATAATCCTAAACTACAGCGCAACTTTACAATTACGTATGTACAATCAAGCCAACAAAAAGCGTGCAATTAAATAGCAAGACGATGTCTGACATTCAACACATCGAAACACAAGAAAAATGACATAGATCTTCGCTGCATATAAACAGTTGTCAACCAACAATTAAGAAATAACTCTCGCTGGACATTTCAACATTCCATGCAAGAATTGATGAATGAATTTAAAGTATGCATGAAAGTGCTTTAGAAAAATACCAAGATAAAAAAATGAGATTCAAGAAAAATGGGGGAGGGATCGTTACAGTATTTTGGTCAGGTCCTTTATTTATAAAATTCTGCATCATTTTAAAGTTCTAACATTAAATCTGGATTCTACAGTGCAAATTTAACTATATTCAATGAAAAAACAGTGAATAAATTCCATATTGTAGAATTAAGATAGTGACTACATTTTGTGGCAGAAAGTTTTTTAGACGAAAATGATCAGTTTTTTTTATTTTGAACTATAACAGTACTGTTAATTTTGGATTCCTATTTTTCCTTCCTCGTTGCACAAAAAGCTGTTTTTTGCAGTTAAATGTGTTATGCTGGTTTTGAAATATCTGATAAAATATTTCTTATGAATTCTATCTACAAAGTGTGACAAATATAGTAAATATATTCTGAAAATCCGGGAAAGAATTGAGCCAATTTTAATGTAAAAATTTACACTTCTTTTTAGTAATATCTGAAAATTTACATCAGATACCCCGCTTTTGATGTTCTTTTCTAAATATTCAAGATAAATTTGGCCTATTAGCTTAAAATCAGAAAAAGTTTAAGGCTTTAAAATAATTTTCTTGCTTATCAAATTTTCAATGCCAGAAAAAAATACTTTTTATTAGTGCAGAAAGGTCAAAAAATTGATTGTGCGAATCAATTTAAAACTTTTTCTTAGTCACAATTTTTAAGTGTCTTTTTTAAACAAACTTAGAGTTAATTTTGTTTCATGCTTTTATTGGATAAAAATATTGGAGGGAAAACGTCAAAAATATTATTTTCAATTAAGACACAAATTTCAGTGCAAAAACGTCATAACAAATGTACTGTAGCGCCAAAAGAAGCGTATTGACCCCCATTTTTTGATTTGAATTTTAATTAAACTATGTATGTAAAAACTAACAATATACTTGGCCAAAAAAGTTTAAGACTTTAAATATCAGGATCGAACGTCGTTAAAAATAAGAAAAAATTGCCATTAAACTTGAATATTTTAAGTATAACTTTTTCGAAAGCAGATATGACTTAGAGGCTTGTTGTAGTGGTTGGATTTTTGTTGTTGTTGTTTTGTCACGAGGAGCGACTCGTTATTGAGACGTCCGACAGAGTGCAATGCTACAGATCGTTTATTTATTATGCTTGAGATATCTGCAAGATTTGCATGTCTTTTCCTTTGCTTTGTCATAATGTTGGTTATTAAAGATAGAAAGTATTATTTTTCCAAATTCTATTACTGGTCTCTAGTCTTTAGTAAAACAGCTATTTGTTTTGTGGATATCCATCAACCAATTATTCCAATGTACATTTGAAAGCAAATTGGAGATAATAACACTGTAGTGCTGGCTTACACAGTGACCCCATTGTCACTAGCACAGCATCATTACTAACATTTTTCCGATAATTGTCTCAGAAAGTCAAGATGATAATAAGCGTAATTTACTGGTATATATTATCTAGAAATATATTTACAAACTAAGCTTAATTAATTAATTAGCTCTGTAGATGTTTCAAATATACACTTATTACGATTTCATATAGATATCTTGAATTGTTCCTGGGAATGGGAATTTAGAACATGAAATATGGACGTAAAGAAAGTATTCAAGCTGAAAAATACATTAAAACAATACAAACCGTGAGCAGAGCAAACAAAGGCCTCTAAAATATCAGAGTTGACATCAAAAAATCCTCTTTTTCTTTTTACTTTAAGTTACTTGGTATAAACATTAAAGAATTTTTTTATTATTTATATTTATTTATCAAATGATTACAGATGTAAAATGTTAATCTAGTCTAAAAAATGTTTTGTGAAAAGGGCCACCCCTAAACCGTCTTAATCTGCATGGCGTTTGGGTTTGGACGCTGTTATAAAGAAATGTAATGTAGTGGATTCCTTATCCTGGTTCCTTCTTCACAAACCTTGTGGTTTTTTTTCTTGTTTTCTAGACTTCTCCAGAAATTAAACTGTCTCCCCGAATAAGAATTTTGTTCTTACCACTAATATTTAGGAAAATGGCATAGAAAATGTTTTTGCAATTCTTTGCTTTTCTCAGACCTTGGCTGTTTTTGTCAAGTGTATCTTATTGCAAATTTGTTTTGATGAATTAAAGCAATGGATTCAAGTTTTATTATCTGTTTTAATTTCAGACAGACGTTGTTAACTGCAATTTTTGATTTTTTAAAAATAATTGTTTAGATCTTTTACAAACTGTTGTTTTAACTTTTTCAAAACAAAGATGGCCATTAAGTACTACGTTTTAATACTGTCAAACGTCTCTTTCAAACTGTGTAGATAACCCCCACAGCGATGCCAATCAATTTTGCTATGTGTCTTACAGTCAATCAAACATCATCAGTGATAATTTGTTGAATTTTGGCAAATAGGACATTTTTTTGTTGTAAGTCCTCGTCCCCAAGAACGGTAGTCATTTAGATGCCCATTATATCATTTTTGTTCAGTGAAATTGAAATCCACCTACTTATGTGTCTATATAAAGACATTGATTGCTATAAATATCACATATTTTAGTGAATATTTTTGGATTCTTAACGGGTTTTACAGCAGCTTTCATGAAGCTTTTTTAAATTGCACTCTAGTATACTGATTCTTTACCATTCATTTTTAATGCATTGTCTCGAATACCCCTTGTTTTCCAACTTCTCATAACAAAGCTATTTGATTAAAACTGTCCCATAATCTGTCATTAATTAATTAATGATTCAATCATGAAAGAAAGTCAAGCTAAATACCATGTGATTTCTATGTTGTGTGTCATAGAGCTCAGGATATAATTTATTAAACAACCCACGTATATCTTGTTTTATTTTATTCACTTTAAAATAAGGGTGTCTGTGCACAGGTATTGGATATATTTAAAACCCATTGTATGATAATAACACGTTTATTTTTATCACTATTAAGGAAGTTAAAGGATTATTTATAATTAGAGCTATGATGATACCCGGTCAAGTGAAGCGTTTTAAGTCTCTTTAAATGTGGAAGAGTCCTTTAATTTCATTCTATATCTACGTCAGAACACATCGAACAATTTAAAACATACTGATGTATTCATCGCTTGAAAAATGGGAAGTTATAATTGGGTAAGTTTTATCTAACCTATTTAAACAGCATTGTATTTTAGCGCATAATTAACAATTTTTCCGTCACTAATGGTATACTCATATGGAAGAATTGCTCTTCATCATATATTGTATTTTGTCGATTACTTTATAATGTTTATCTGTAATTTATATATGTTTATGCCCTATGGGTCCTGATTCGGTAATAAATTCTATTCTTTCTATTTTATTTTATTCTATTCTAAACAGTGACGGATTCACGGGGGTTGGGGGTTTGGAACCCCCCCCCCCCCACAATTCAATGATTTTTTTTACAAGTGTCATTTTATCAACATGTTGCATGGTTAAGACTCTAATGAACACGATTCCATTGCTCTGCACAACTGTGAAATATACCTCAACTACAGAAAAGGAAGTAATTTCGCTTGAACGCACAAAATACACAGGTAATCAGCAGATCAGGGGCCCGTTAGGATTTATACAAAGAAATCAAATATTACAGTATTAAACATTACAGATCAGTTGTATCTTGAAAAGGCTTGACAAACATGAATGAAAATTTGAAGGTGCATTTGAAAAATGAGGAAGTCAAATGTTTATATTCCTAAAATTATATCACATCCAATTCTATTCGAATTGGAGGCTTTTATCGAAGAAAGTGTTAATTTCCCATATTACAAAATCTATAGATCCGCCTATAATCCCTATAATCAATTAGAGTTATTCCCCCTGAGTCAACTTCCGTTAATCCTTTTTCATTCACAGACTATATGAATGAGGTTGGTGCAATTTTAAGGGATAATTTTTTGCAAATTTAGATATTTAGAAAAATAGTTAATGGGTATAATACATATGGATGTTTTTGTTATCTATTTGGTAGTTGTTTGCTGCAATCAATTTAGGAGTATTTATTCATGATTTCCCGATGATCCTTGATTTTATAATGATAATTTTTTCTAGCGTCTGTTGTGGCCATTTTGTATTAGCCGACCACGTTGTATCTATATAAGTTTTCATTAAAACAGATTATATGATGTAAGTATGTGATAAGATATAATGATTATTAAGTCAATTATCTTGATCGTTAGGATTTATATCATATTGCTTTGGCTTAATTAAATTTTCTTTGTTTTATAAATTGATCCGACACGTTTCAGATTTCTATACCAAGGGGAGATAAAAAAAAAAAATAATAAATAAATAACCAAATAAATAAATAAATAAATAAAAATAATAATAATAATAATAATAATAATAAAATAATAATAAATAAATAAATAAATAAAAAATTAGGCTAACTTTATAAAAAGAAATAATAAGGCATGTGAGAATGAGGAGATAATTAATTTAAATTTCTTCTTACAAATATAAAAAAAATATATATATATATATATATATATATAAATAAAGAATTTTCTTTTCTTTTCTGAACACGATGCCACCGAGAGCTAAGAAGCGTAGAATGGCTCAACCAGCAGCGACTGCCACACAGCAGCCAAGTGGTAGTCAGGCTACGGTGTCTGTGAATTCCCAGACGTACTCGTCGACGGCGTCGGCAGGATGTCCAGTACATGTACCAATACCACCGACCCAGGCTCCATCAACTTCCGTTGTGGCGGAAGCGCAACCCATGTTGACGACAAGTGCAGGGCCATCCTTTGCACCGACCACCTCTGGAGCAACAATCTCAACTCCAACAGATGTTGGTACCACCCCTGCTCCTGTCCCATCAATACATATGATTGGTATGAATGTTTCTAGCACAGTCAAACAACGTATTATTAGTGGGCAGTATATTGATTTGGCCACATTGGTAACACCAAAATCAGGGTCTGATGAAAAGAAATTAGTTATGAATAGTATGGGTGAGATAATTTATAAAGATGCCAACCCAAAAAAGGTAGAAAATATTGAGCAATGGACTGACCTTATGCTCATATTTGCAAGTGTGTACTTGAGTGCACATCCCGCCAAGACTCTTGACCTACTTAAGTACATACAGACCGTAAGAATGGGTGTTAGCAGGGGGGCTATATCTTGGAAAGAATATGATACGCAGTTTAGGCTGCGCAAAGAGCAAAATCCTGTGTCTTCTTGGGGTGAAATTGACTCGGAATTATGGTTGATGTATATGCATTCTGGGCCCGCTTATAACGTAACAAATGCACCCAAAACCAATAATGATAAATGCTTCAATTTCAATTACAAGGGATCTTGTGACAAATTCCCATGCATGTATAAACACAGTTGTATTCGATGTGGTAGTAACCATTCACAGATACATTGCCTTACACAAGCCTCAAACACTGGGTCCGCACAAATATTTCGCCAACAAAATTTTAGTGGTCAATTCTATGGACAGTCAAGTTTTCGTCCACAAACCACCAATGCAAATACCAACTATAAGGGGTATTCAACCAATGCAAATACCAATTATAGGGGGTATTCCAGCAGCAACACCCAGCGCCCCACCTACTCAAGACCAAGATTCCGCACCCCGCAATCTATGGCGTCTAGGTTCAACGCCTATTAATGTACACGCCCTTAAAAAATGTCTCGTCCACTATCCTAACAGAATCATAGCAAATCGCCTAATCCAAGGGTTCTCTCAAGGGTTTAAACTTCATTATCATGGGCCTAGATTACCAATTCAATGTAATAATTTGAAATCCGCGGAGGATCATCCTAATGAACTTAAAGAGAAAATCGATAAAGAAATTGAAATGGGGAGGATACAGGGTCCTTTCACGAAAATACCAATTTCTAATCTTAGGTTATCTCCAATTGGGTTAGTGCCGAAGGGGGATAATTTGGGCTGGCGTCTAATAACGCACCTCTCTTTCCCGAAGTTTAGTAGTGTAAATTCATACATAGATCCTTGTGAAACTGCTGTACAATATTCATCCTTTGATTCAGTGATTCAGATGATTGCTAAATTAGGGAAGGGGGCTTTCATAGGTAAGCGAGATATAAAATCCGCATTTCGACTTCTTCCAATATTTCCCGGCGATTTTGATCTCCTGGGTTTTAAATTTCAGGGTAATTATTTCATAGACAAATGTTTACCTATGGGGTGCTCCATTTCGTGTAAGGTTTTCGAGGATTTTACTACAATTTTGCAGTGGGCTACGATACAGCGCTCTAAAACATCAACAATGGATCATTATCTAGATGATTTTATATTTGCTGGGAGGGATGCCCATTCCTGTCAAGATCTTATGTCGAATTTTCAAGACGTCTGCGATGATATAGGTGTTCCTATTGCCGAGGACAAATCTGAAGGCCCTACTATGGTTATGACATTTTTAGGTTTTGAGATAGATACTTATCATATGCTAGTTAAGATCCCCAATTCAAAATGCTTAGAGCTACAGGGTATTTTACACCATCTCGTTGTTCAACGCAAGATGACACTCCAACAATTACAATCTGTTTTAGGTAAACTGAATTTCTTTACAAGAGCCATAAGACCAGGTAGGGCATTTCTGCGTCGGCTTTATAATGCTACAATAGGGGTTTCAGAATTACATTATCACATAAGGATAACTCAATCAATGCGACAGGACCTGTACATGTGGATTAATTTTCTTGAATCATTTAATGGGACTGTGTATTTTTTAGATATTGAGTGGACGTCAGACAACAACATTAATTTTTACACAGATAGTTCCGGTTCGTCTTACTTGGGATGTGGTGCTTATTTCAAAGGGGAATGGTGTTTTTACCCTTGGCCAGAGACCTGGGCGTCCAATGACCTACTTAAAGACATGACCTTTTTAGAGTTAGTTCCGGTGGTCTTGGCCGTCTATTTATGGGGTAACAAACTCGCTAATAAAAAGATCATTCTCCATATAGACAATCAAGCTGTAGTCGCTATAATTAATAAACTCACTTCTAAATCAGAGCGGGTCATGAAACTACTTAGACCATTTGTCCTTGCTTCTATGAATTATAATATTCTGTTTCGTGCAGTTTACATACCAAGTAAAGACAATGTAGTTGCTGATTCAATTTCTCGTAAGCAGTGGGCCAGATTCCGACAAGCAGCTCCACATGCCAGGGAACACCCTTGCCCAGTGCCCCTATCTTTCCGCAACATCATCTCCAGCCTGAGTTTGCTAAACTTTTAGACGCCTCAGTATCTGAAAACACACATAAATCTCATCGGGCTGGAATGGCAGCTTATTACAAAGTATGTAGACTCATTGATTGCACGCCATGGCCCCCTACATTAAACTCAGTCGTGCAATTCGTTTTGCATTCATCATCATCCGGCCTCGCATATGGTACCGTGAGGTCATACTTGTCAGCCATTTCATTTTATTGTAAATTGCAGAGTGTTCACGATCCAACCCCAGAGTTCTTGGTTACAAAGTTATTGCAGGGCATGAAACGTTTGAGACATAAAGTAGATACTAGACTGCCAATAACGAAAACAATTTTGCTAAATATTATTCAAGTTCTGCCCATAATATGTACCAATGCTTTTGAAACAGCTCTTTTCTCGGCTGCATTTTCCCTGGCATTTCATGGATTTTTAAGAGTTGGCGAATTAACAGTTAATACAAGAGAAGGTGATCAACAAAACACAATTCAATTCGACAATTTGTCCATTAATCACGAAACGCAATCTCTCTTACTGACTATCCGGTATTCGAAAACGGACCAGTTAGGTAAAGGCAAAGTACTTCAAATAGATAAGCAGGGTGGTGTAGCATGTCCATATCAGCTCATTACTAAATACGTCAGCATCCGTCCAGAGGGTTCAGGTCCATTGTTTCGACACTTCGATTTATCCCCACTCACACGATATCAATTTACGGGGGTACTTTGTAAGGCAGTAAAGCACCTAAATTTGCCTGGTATCTCAGGATACAAATCTCACTCTTTTCGTATCGGCGCGAGTACTGATCTCGCGTTAAAAGGATTTTCAACTCATGACATTCAGAGATCTGGTCGTTGGAAATCTGATTCTTACAAATCCTACATTCGCATACCAAAGTTTTAATCTAATTTTTATATACAGACAATATGGTTGGTGGGTTCATCAATAATCAAGCACGCCTTTTTGGAAGCTGTATTAAGACCAGGTGGTACAAATTTGACATTAGAAAGAAAACACATCTCACTGTGGTGGCAGGGTTATAGTGGCCTCCAGTTAAGTAAAACTAAACAAAAGAGTAGAACTCTTGGAAAGGTGGGCCCTGTACCTAATTTCATCCTTATACATTGTGGGGGGAATGACTTGGGCAATGTATCGATCAGAAAAATAAGGGTGGTTGCAAAGCAGTTGGTTTTATTTCTAAGGAATCACTTTCGAAACAGTAGGATTATATGGTCATTTATACTTCCGCGTCTCCAATGGCGCTATTCAGCAAATTTAAAAGCTATGGAAAATGCACGCAAACGGGTTAATTCTGGTATAACTGCAATTGTCTTGCAATCTGGGGGCGCAATAATTCGCCATTCAGACATTAAACCTGATCCAGCTTTATTTTTACAGGATGGGGTACACTTATCCTCGTTGGGGAATAACATTTTTCTAAACTCTCTCCAGGGGGGACTTGAGGCTATCGTTGCGCATGGTCAATCCTGCTTTCCCAATTAGCAAGGGTCCTGGGTACGGCTGTTCGTATATGCCGCTCTACCCCCACCATGGTGGCGGAGTTCCATGGATGAGTTTCATTCTGATCCTCATCTCAGGGAACTTGTGGCGTATAAGCGGCATTTTGGTAATTATATTGTAAGCTTTGACCTCTGCACCTCCCAGGGTCAATGCTTTCTATATATATATATGGTGAACTTTGAACTTTGATGTTGTGAACTTTGAACTTTTGATGTTGTATGAACTTTGACTTACCACTATATGAACTTTCACCTTTGGTAATGACCTTGATATATGATTTGCTTTGATGTTGAATGTTGTTTGTGCATTTGATTGGGGCATGCTCTTGTCTTGGCTGCCCATTGCCCATATGATATTGTTTGTTTTGCATTTGAAACTAAATAACAGCCGTGCCCATAATATCGCCACACTTTAATAAAATTAATTTCAAGTTACCATTTGTTTGAGTTACACTTTTCTGAGATAATCAGATTTAACACTATTTCTTATTTTTTAATTCAAGTCTAATGTTGAAATCAAATTAATTTTATACATTTTTTATGCCCCCAAATTCTTAAAAATAATTGTGATGATCGATCTTTTAAAAAAGAAGAAAACAAATATATAGCAATTTACATTCATTTCTGTATTATAAGGCACCTCTCCCCACAAAATCTGGGTCATTCTTCTATAAAGCCATTTTCTCGGTATACATGAAGATGTAACTCTGGAAAAATCATTTCCCCGCTTAAAAAGTGATTGAGTATTCAGCGATCGGAATGTCTGTATCTCTGTCTGTAACAATTTGGGGTACCCATCTTATCCGCAACTCCTCTTTGAGCCACTGATGGAATTTAATGAGACTTTCACAGATTTCTTGCTTCATATAAAAGTACCATTGTGTACGTCCTGTTCACTGGCACTTGTTTATGTAATGAATTTTTGACCCATAGTATAATAATAACACAAGTATTAAACTCCGATTTACACCGAGAATTGTATGTTCTAATCTCTGGCAAAGAGAAAAATTAAAGAATGCGTGGGTTTAAAAATCCAATCCCAGATTTTAAATATTGCATTGAATTAATAAATTTTCACAGTGTCTTATTTTCCATAAAAACGCAACGATGTTTTTCCGATGTAATTTCAGAAACAGATTTTTAGCCAATCAAATTCGAGGTCTAATTCTTTGCCCGAGATTAGAACATACAACTCTATGGTACTGTTTTACTTTCCACTCGGCGAGCAGAGTTTTGACGCTGATTACGGAAATAAAAGAAAATAAAGACAAGCATGCCAGATATGGTTGTGTAGATAAATTATCGTAGAAGACATAGGTATAAACAGTTTACCCGTGCATTTCCTCTGAAAGTATAAATGAGCGCGATTCTAAGGGAGGGGGGTACTCGGTGTAAATCGGAGTTAGATACCTTGTGTTATTATTATACTATGGGTCAAAAATTTATTACAGAAACAAGTGCCTGTGGTCCTGTTTTATTTTTTGATCGAACATATTTTTGTTTGCCGTAGCACAACGTGGAAACTATCATTATTTCTATAACACCGAAGGGTACCTATTTCTTATCCGCAACTCCTTTATATTTAATGATAATATCACAGATTCATCATTACATGATGCCATTGTGCGTCTCTTATTTTTTATTTTGATCTGACACTTATTTCGTGAGAAAAACATACACTTTGCCATTATTCTAGTAATCATATATGGGAATATCATTTAGTGAGGTCAGTGCTTACAGTACCTCTGGTTTAAGATTGAAACTGTAAAAAGTAATGCAATTTTCAAAAAAAAGATTTGATGGTCATTTCCTTACTCTTATTTTGAATATATTACATCTCAGTTACTCATTGATTAAATATAAAGAAAAAAACCTTTTACTTTTCAGATATTTTTGACTTTCTTTGGTGGCTTCGTTGCTGTTTCGGGAATAGAAAGTTGGAATCATTGCACAAGTAATCCTGATTGTCGCTGTATCCCAAACAGTTACAAGAACTATATAGCAGACTGTTCGAATCTCGCAATCGCAGAGGTACCGCGAACGCGACCTGATGTCGACACTCTAAATATAGGACATAATAGAATAAGTCATATCATGCATCCGTTTAGTCCCACACTTGTGAATTTGGATATGTCTTATAACCAGCTTCAAAACTTTACTCACGACGTGTTCGCAAACTTAACACGCCTGAGAACTTTAAATTTAGAAGGAAATCAACTTCAACTGGACGAAAGCGTACTTAGACCGGAAGTCTTTCGAGACTTAAAAGCTTTACGTTCAATATACATTAAAAAGACTATAGTCAAAGCACGGAGCACATTTCCATACAAAATGTGGGGCCATCTGTCCTCGTTAGAGACTCTCCGGATTGACGTCATATCATCGACACAATTTGGTCGACAGTTTCGCTCACTGACGTCACTGACAGCCCTAAACGTATCAGGATTGTCTGGATTTTGCTCGATAGAAGAAATTGGAGAGAAGTTCTTGGAAAATCTGCCTCTCTTAGAGATTCTGGATTTGTCTTGTTGTCACATAAAAGGATTCTCAGCAGGTGCTCTGAAAAAACAACAAAATATAACGGTCCTTGATATTTCATACAATGAAAAATTTACATTTGCAAGTTTTGCGAATATAACAAGCGATTTACAGTTTTCCAAAATAAAGGTTTTCAAAGCCAATAAAATCCACTGCACTTATGGAATAGGAACTTTGTTACAAATCCGTGACGTCATGCACTTTAAGAACACTTCTCTCGAAGAACTTTACCTAGAGAACAACAGACTAGCTCTTGTAGAAAGATATGCTATCCGCTATTTTCCCCCAACTCTCAGAATAGTGTCGCTCGTCCGAAATAAAATGGCACTTGGTGCTTACTTAATGGATGTCTTATTCTTGACAGGGATGGAATCACTTGACTTGTCCCTCCAAATGACTTCAAAGCCCACCAGCAAACTGATAGACGCTTTCATTTGTCAGAACCCTTTACGGCCTTCCGATAACACAATAGAGAGACATTCCAACAAATACAACACAGAACCATTTCAAATGAGATATAATGCTAATATCTCCGTAACTCTGCCAAGAAATTTAAGAACTCTCATTCTGAGAACAATCGGCATACGTCTGGAACTCTCTGCGATTCATGTTAACCCGTCCAATCAGTTGACCCATCTTGACCTTTCACAGAACGTCATAACCAGCTTCAAGGGACCCATTATAGGATTTAATAAACTTCAATATTTGGACTTATCAGGTAACCTTTGTTCCTTGCTTTCAACCAGGTTATTTGATTTTACGACAGCACTGCAAGTTTTAAAGCTTAACAACAACCTGTTAGGTTTCAGTTTGAAAGACGATTTGGACGGAGGAACCTTTAAGAATCAGGTCAATCTTCAAGAGCTAGACTTATCGGACAACAGAATACAACAGCTTCATGAAAAACTATTCAAAAATCTAGGAAAGCTTCAAAAGCTGAACTTAAGTTCAAATTTCTTGACGGAATGGAATGTGAAGATTGATAATATGTGGAACCTGATCATGATTGATATCTCAGACAATACGATAATGCAACTCAGTCAGGACGCCACAGTGTCGATTGCAGAAATATCAAAAAAGAATAGACACTTTAAAATTTTTCTGGCAGACAATCCTTTTGCTTGTTCGTGCGATTCTCGACATTTTCTACAGTGGTCTTCCAAAAATCGCAAACATATCTCGGACTTTCATCAGATGAAATGTAAGTTAGACAATGGAACAAGCTTTGGTTTCCAAGACATAGAAACAGTTTTGCGATTGCTTGAAATTCAGTGTAAAAATTATCAAGTGTTAACATTCATAATAACTTCTGTCATAGTGTGCTTCGTGATAATCATCGTTACCGGTTTAGTTTACCGGTACCGATGGAAACTACGTTACTTGTTTTATATGACCAAAAACAAATACCGATTAGCCAAACCTATATATCAAGATACGTTTACGTTTGATGCCTTCATATCATACGCTGATGAAGACAGGGATTTCGCACTGCACGAGTCGATTTCCCAGCTAGAGAAATCAAGAGGACTGCACCTGTGCCTCGACAAGAGGGACTTCCGGCCCGGTACAGAGATCGCAGCAAACATTACAGAAGCTATCACCAAGAGTCGTAAAACAATCATAATTCTGTCCAATCACTTCCTGAACTCTTACTGGTGTATGTATGAATTCAATATGGCCAGAATGGAGAGTATTTATACCCGGGATGGAAAGGGCGTACTGTTCATGGTTATGTATCGACACGTGACTGCTAAGATGTTGCCTTTATCAATGCTGGCCTTGGTAGAAAGTCATTCCTATATCGAGTACCGCGACGATCCTCAGGGGAACGTCGTATTCTGGGACAAAGTAGCTGACACATGCAAAAATCCGTCAGATTAAAGTAGCCGACACCTGCAACAGGTCCTTATGACAACAACGCTGATACCTGTGAAAAACCTTCTTTATATAAAAAACAAAACAGATAAAATGAAGAAAAGTAAAGAAAAAACCTTATCGATGAAACGTGTGGAGATAACGAACAGCATTCAAGGTCAAAAGTCCAATTAGTCAGAGTCAAATTAGGAGCAGAGCAAACAAGGACCAAAACATTGCATTTGGGATTATTTGTCATGGAGGAGTGATGATCCCCTGCGGACGGGTCACATCTTAAGAAACTTACAAATATATAGATCTGTCAATAAGCATTTTATTACAAAGATGACGGAAAGCATACTCAAACTCGTATATATATGTAGGACTCCAAAGTGCGAGGGTGACGCCAATTTAAGTCCGATGGTCACGCCAGAGTCCGATGATTTGACACGCCAAAGTTCTATGGTGTAGAAAACAATTAATGTTTATGAAGTCATAGTACTACTGCACAAAAACGCAATGCCATCCCATGCCGAGGCTCGATGGTTTAGAATAAATACAAATAAATATTCAATGCAAAGACTAAGCCTAGTCTTGTGGATATAGGTGCGAGATTAACACTTATCAGTCAAAAAATGTGTGTAACAACCATAAGCTAGGTATCTTTGATGGGTGGACTAATCCAAATAAGTCCAATAGTGTGCGAGGACTAATTATAAAATCTCTCGGGTGAGTTTGAAGAAACACATTGGTGTTCAAGAACTAACCCTTATCAGTCTAATGGTGTACAAGGACTAACCCTAATAGCTCTAGTGGGCGAAAACAATAGGCAAAATCAGTAAAATCGTATTCGAGACAAATGCTAAATCAATGGATTTTGAATGCAGAACAACGCCATGACGTCCGTCTATTGTGATGTCATAAACGTTGATAGTTCCTTCCCACCATCGCACTTTAGCGCAACGTGCCTCATAGGAAACAAACCATCGGACTTTGGCGTGTCCATCGGACTTTCGCGTAGAGACGTCCGTAAAGACAGCGTGCCATCGGGGTTTGGCGCAGGCCATCGGGCTTTGGCGAGACCATCGGGCTTTGGCGTCACCATCGGACTTTTGAGTCTTATATATATATATACAATATACGACAAGTAATAGCAGCTGCAAAATACCTTTATTTCTCAACGGAGGCCTGCTACATTTCAAAACGGCACTTACTAAAATATAGTCAATTATATTGAATCTATTTTTAATCATTTATTGTGCATGCAAAACTTGAGCACAAAATTTATGGATGGCTCAGACTTCACATTGAAGAATGAACTTCTGCGACCACACAATGAGAACTTGCTGGTCAGCTGTGATGCAATATCACTTTACACAAATATGCAATCAGGCACGTAGCAACGGGGGGGGGGGGGAACAGGGGGGCCTGTCCCCCTTTTTTCCCAAATATTACCTTTACTAATGAATATGTTCATTGAAAGCTTGGTTGGCCCCCACACTTCCTACCACAGTAAAGTGATATCAATATTCCATGCAAAAAAATTGGTAGTGAAAGGAAGTTGGCATTGAAAAAAGTTGGCCACTTACACCCACCCACCCCCCACCCCCCTCCCCCTTACGAAATATGATTTTTGAGTTTGGGCAATTTTTTTTGTTTGTCAACTTTAACAGGTAAGTAAAAAAAAGATTTCTCTGGTTGCCCCCACCCCCACTTTCAAATTCGATGCTATGTGCCTGGCAATAGGAGAAGCTAATGGCTGGTGTTGATACGGCTTACAGGGAAATTCTCGGTAATAGCCCAGCCGACATTAGACCTAAATTATTTAATCAGATTTATCCCAGAAAGTAATATATTTGTATTCCATGCAAATATATACAAAGAAATAATTGAATACGCGATGGGTTCTAAGTCAGGGACCCTTAGTCAGAATCGCATACATTCTGTATGCGATATTCGTTAACATGAAATTACCAATTAAACTGATTTATAAAATTATTAAAATATCAGGATATTCAAAGAAATAAAAATATTGCAATGCAATCCTCCATCAATAACCTATCGTGTCATTTAACGCAATAAAAAAATTGACTGATATGCTCTTCTCCTAACTAATTTGATAATCTGTATAAAAGATGTGCAAATAAGCTCCTGATGATAGCGGATTTGCAGCTAATTAATATACTATCAAAATCATAAACCTCGTATATATCACACCGCCGAAGCACTAGATTAGTGCCGAGTCAATTGATTCGAGGTACATGGCTGATGGGAACCACTTTTTTTGAAGAAAAAAAAATCAACATAAAAGGCTTGAGCTATTGCAAAATTGAAATTTAAATGAATTTACTACGCAATATTATTTGGGACAAATTTTGACATCGATGATATGCCTTTGACTATTGACGGTCAATCTTTTATGTATGAACGTCTATCATGTACAAATGACAAAGAAAATTTGCTGACAGGCAGACAGGTAAAAAGAAAATATGATACATTTTCTGGCTATTCAAGAAATAATATAATTTGCTAGAAATAACACTTAATTAAAACGACACTTCTTCAGTGGCGCCGTATGCAATCACAAAGTTCAATACATTCCTACTTGATATCGAGCAATTCTTTTAAATGCATGATGGTCATTATTTTTCGTTTTATAAAGTGTCATTTCTTTAAGATATTTTATTTATTAAAACATTCGTGATGACACGTGATCACGCATAAACGACTTATTAGTAAGGAAACAAAACTCTCGCGTTTACAGAAAAAGGACCCCTTTCACCTCCAAACCATGTCCAGGAAATTAGAAAACTTTCTAAATCATTTCTTGTGCAAAGAACAAAATACACTTTTTATATAAACATTGTAAATTACACCTTAGTAGTTGTCAATTATCTCACAATCACTTTAATAGACGCATCAAATGTGTCGTTTTCTGAGCACAGTAAGTTCTTCACTTGACCAGGATTGACACCTATGTCATCAGAGCAATGCACTAAATCTCAAAGTCCATAAAACAATACAAACTAAGAGTAGAGAAATACGGACCTCCCAAACATCAGAGGTGGGATCAGGTGCTGTGGAGAAGTGAATATCCCCTGCTAACCGGTCCTTCGTCAATTTAGTGTATAAATAATGGACTAACAATTAGTATGAAAATTGTCAGTCAGCATTTGACTCAATGATAAACTGTATTTGCTGACAAGGTCATTGTATCGACCATAGAACTTACGAAATAATGACTTTAAATTAGACGGCTGATATAATTATATAACATATTCGGCAGTGAATTGAATTCTCCTTTTGGGGAAACAAAAATACAGTCGCCTTTCTCTGAATAAAATATATGGAGATATCAAACAGCATTCAAGCTCAGAAGTCCATTGAAACAAAATCAGGAGCAAATAAATCACGGGCCTCTAAAACATTGGAGATGGGAGCAGGTGAAATAGAGAAGTGAGCATGTTCTGCCGACATTTAATTATTATGAAAAAAGTAGAACAGCATTTTATCAATGATAGGTACTGGTATTTGCTGACAAGTTATTGTATTGTTGTATTGAACAAATATTTAAATGAAAACTTCAAATAAGACTGTTGATATCTTTGTTTCATTAACTTGTTTGTCAATAGCTTACCTCGTTTAAGAAATTGTTCATACGTTGAGCTTGCTCTTGTATAATTTAATCAATAGGAGACATACATATTCAATTGATAAGGGGGTTTACCCCGTATTTCACAGTCATGGAAATCATTCAAACTCACAAATGACCCATCGTCATAAAGTATACGTATGTCACTAATGCATGAAATTTTGCATGAAAACCATTTTCTAAAGAAAAATGGCTTTTTATTTATAATTATTTTTTTTTTCAAAAACAGTGGATCTAAACAAAGAAATGTGTCATTTTGTAAGGATTTCCCTAACAAAAATTTACGATAGTTAACTATAGTTCATTATAGTTAACTATAGTTAACTATAGAGAACACTTTGACACTTTGATTTTCTACGAATCTTTACTCTAGAACTTTTAAAAAAAAAATAAAGCCTTAATATATCTTAAATTACATATTAATGATGTAGTTTTTTGATAAAATATATAAGTGTACACGCAATACGAAAAATATTTGTAGGAAGTTTAGAAAATTAAATATATCTATCTGAAATTTATAGTAAAAATACTTAGATTTACGATAGTGAAAACTTTTATTTACTATAATTAATTATAGTAAACTATAGTTAACAATAGTACTTTTTCTAAGGGTTGTCGTAGAAGCATAACCATGCATGAAACATATTTAACCAAAACATATTTTTAAAATCATTTATAATTTTTGGCAACAAATCCTCGTCGACAGTATAAAATTTTAATGTCAAAATCTAAAAATAATCTAACCTGTTGTCCTGTTGTTACAATTATGTCATCCATACTAGTTTTAAGGACATGACGAACTCGCTTCTTCCTTATAGTTCATTACATAAATTTTCCTTTTCAGTCTTAAATTGTAACAAACCATTATATATGTATTTATTATATATATAATGTATAGAAATTGTTTTCTAATTCTTTCATTTTTAGTTCAGAAGAACTTTGAAGAGAGGCAAAGAATATGAATTGAGGATGGCAATAACAGGTTTTTCAAACCGTTAAACGACCAAGAGGAGTGACGTTTCTTTTGTTCCAGTGTTGCATTGATTTTTTGAATTACTAATTTTAGTTGCATTATAAAGCATAAAATTTGATATATTTTGAAGATTTGTATAAAATATATAACATATACATGTATCAGTCTTATATTTTAAGAAGTATTTCTTCCTTGTATAAAACTAGTTTGCTATGAACAATTTAACCAACATATTTTTTTCATTTAATTAGCTATTATTATTACCATTAGGGAAATTATAGACCTAAATAGGAAGAGTTATAAAATAATTCTGTCATGTGAGACCTCTTAAAAAAGTTTGAATGTCTTTCATATTCACTGATCATCCATATGTCAGAACACTTCTAACGTTATAGATATATTCAACTTTTGTCAGAGAAATGGGAAGCAATAATTGTGTAAGTTTTATTTAACCTATATTTAAACAACACAATATCTTATGTAAATTTACGTTTTTCCTTTACTATTGTTGTTCGTTTCCTATCACTCTTTTTCAATGGGGAACTCACAACCAGAGATTAATCATTGCATGGTCAATATAAGGGTCTGTCTTAAAATGCACTTCTCCCCCAAAAGTCTTTCTTGAATAAAGTCATTTGCTCGGTAAACATGAAGATGCAACGCAGGCAACATCACTGTAGAAATGTGTAAAAAATAAAAATTTCAGGGGAAAAATCTTTGATGGTTAATTTCTTATTCATATTTTTGAATATATTACCTCATTCATTCATTTATTCCTCGTAGATACTGTACTAAAAACATGAAAAACTATCTTTACATACGTTTGCTTTTCAGATTTTTATTACCATTCTCGGTGGTTTCATGGCTGTTTGGGGAATAGAAAGTTGGAATCATTGCACAAGTAATCCTAACTGTCGCTGTATCCCCAGGAGTAACCAGAGGTATCTAGCAGACTGTTCAAATCTCACAATCACACAGGTACCCAAAACTCGACCAGATGTCGACACTCTAAATATAGGACATAATAGAATAAGTCACATCTTGCACCCGTTCAGTACAACCCTTATACATTTAGATATGTCTTATAACCAAATTCTAAATTTTACAAACGATGTGTTCGCAAACTTAACACGCTTAAGAACTCTAAATCTAGAGGGAAATCAACTCCAAATGGACAAAAGCATATTCAGACCGCAAATCTTCCGAGACTTAAAAGCTTTACGTGCACTAAACATCAAGAAGACTACAATCAAGGTTCGGAACAACACATTTCCTGATAAGATGTGGAAACATCTCTTCTCATTAAAGACCCTCCGAATTGACGTCTATTCTTCGACACAATTTGGTCGACAATTTCGCTCATTAACCTCACTGAATGTTCTAGATGTATCAGGCTTTTCGGGGTCTTGCTCGATAAAACAAATTGGAGAAAGGTTCTTTGAAAACCTGCCTCACTTGGAGGTTCTGGATCTGTCCTCTTGTCAGATGAAAAGCATTGCAGCAGGTGCCCTGAAGAACCAACGAAATATAACGATCCTTGATATTTCATACAATAAAAAACTTACATTTGCAAGTTTTGAAAATATAACAAGCGATTTACAGTTTTCCAAAATAAAGGTTTTCAAAGCTAACAAAATCCACTGCACATATGGTTTAGGTACTGTGATACAAATTCGTGACGTCATGCACTTTAGGAACACATCTCTCGAAGAAATTTACCTAGAGAACAACAGACTAGCTCTTTTCGAAAGATATGCTCTCCTCTATTTTCCCCACACTCTCAGAATAGTGTCGCTCGTCCAAAATAAAATGGCACCTGGTACTTACTTAATGGATCTTATATTCTTAACAGGGATGAAATCACTTGACTTGTCCCTCCAGTTGGCGTCCACGCCCATCAGCAAACTAGTAGAAGCTTTCATTTGTCAGAATCCTATACGACCTTCCGATAACACAGTAGAGAGACATTTCAACAAATTCAGCACAGAAAATTTTCAAATGGGATATAATACCACCATAACTCTGCCAAGAAATTTAAGAACTCTCATGCTGAGAACAAGTGGCATACGCCTGGAACTGTTTAGGATTCTTGTCAACCCGTCCAATCAGTTATCCCATGTTCACCTCTCACAGAATGTCATTACCAGATTCACAGGACCCATTATAGGATTTAATAAACTGAAATATTTGGACTTGTCAGATTGTCTTTGTTCCTCGCTTTCAACCGGGTTTTTTGATTTTACGACAGCGCTGCAAGTCTTAAAGCTTAACAAAAACATGTTAGGTTTCAGTCTGAAAGATGATTTGGACGGAGGAACCTTTAAGAATCTGGTCAATCTTCAAGAGCTAGACTTATCGGACAACAGAATACAACAGCTTCCTGAAATGTTATTCAAAAATCTAGGAAAGCTTCAAAAGCTGAACTTAAGCTCTAATTTCCTGACGGAATGGAAGATGAAGATTGATAACATGTGGAACCTGCTCATGATTGATATCTCAGACAATGAAATAAGGCAACTCAGTCAAGACGCCACAGACTCGCTTTCAGAAATATTTTTTTAAAAAATAGACATTTTAAAATTTCACTGACAGACAATCCTTTTACTTGTTCATGCCATTCTCGACATTTTTTACTGTGGTCTTCCAAAACTCGCAAGCATATCTCGGACTTTCATCAGATGAAATGTAAGTTAGACAATGGAACAAGCTTTGGTTTCCAAGACATAGAAACAGTTTTACGATTGCTTGAGATACAGTGTAAAAATTATCAAATGTTAACATTCGTCATTACTTCTGTCATAGTGTGCTTCGTGACAATTATCGTTACTGGGTTAATTTACCGGTACCGATGGAAACTGCGGTACTTGTTTTATATGACTAAAAACAAATACCGATTAGCCAGCCCTATATATCAAGATACGTTCACGTTTGATGCCTTTATATCATATGCCGATGAGGACAGTGATTTCGCGGTGCACGAGTCGATTTCCCAGCTAGAGGAATCTAGAGGACTGCGCCTGTGCCTCAGCAAGAGGGACTTCCGGCCCGGTACAGAGATCGCAGCAAACATTACAGAAGCTATCACCAAGAGTCGTAAAACAATCATAATTCTGTCTAATCACTTCCTGAACTCTTACTGGTGTATGTATGAATTCAATATGGCAAGGATGGAGAGTATTTATACCCGGAAGGACGTACTGTTTATGGTTATGTATCGACACGTGACTGCTAAGATGTTGCCTTTATCAATGCTGGCCTTGGTAGAAAGTCGGTCCTATATGGAGTACCCCGACGATCCTCAGGGGAACGTCGTATTCTGGGACAAAGTAGCTGAAACATGCAAAAAGCCTTCAGATTAAAGTCGACGACATCTGCAAAAAGCTTTCAGATTGATTGAGTCGACACCTACAAAAAGCTTTAACATCAAATTAGCGACCTCCTGCAAAACCCTTCAAGATTAAACTTACCGACACCTGCGATAGGTTCTTGAGGCAAAAAAAAACCTGTCAAAAGCCCTTCTAAGATAAGTAGCCGACACCTGCAAAAAGCCTTAAAAATTAAACTAATCAACACCTGCAATAAGTTTTTAAGACAAAAAAATAAAATCTTTCAAAAGCCCTTTTCAAGATAAGAAAAATATAGATGAAATATAAAAAAAAGTGAAGAAAAAACTGTGATCTCCAAGAAACTAACAAACAATACAGATCTGAGAATAAATCTTTAACTCTGAAGATTGCTCCAGCTCAAAAGTCCATACAAACAATACATATTTGGAGCTAAACAAAACACGCAAAGACTCCCTAAAAACAGGGGGGATCAGCACTGGAATTAATAAAGATAGTTAAAATTTGTGCTAAACTGCACATCTTTAAAATTGTAACTTGAAATCGGAGTTCCAGCAATTCTATGCAGATGACGTTGTGAAACTATCGAAAAACGAAAAAGAAAGTTGTGTCCACGTTGATTTATCTCTCACTAGGATGAAGGAACAGGCTGCAAAATGGCTCGTGAAACTTTATGATCACATGAAATCAAACCCAGATGTTAAAAAAAAAAGGCTTCATCGAGAATGGTAACCTTGACGGTTAATCTTTGGACTAGGTATTTTGTTGCATGTCTATTAGATCAAAACTGAAATGCACAGCTATGTCATGAACACTGCACATTTGTATCTACCATCCACTGAAATATTGCCGACTCGGTGTTAAACAATATACAATCAATCAATCTTACCAGTAGATAAAATCTCAAATTCAAAAGGAGTTCAAGATATTATATAATGATTTTTAATTAAAAAATCAAAATTTCGTCTGTTCACTGTTGTTTTTATATTGATGAAGAAAACTTACGTATTTCTTATCTACTCAAGACACCTCCAGAGGACACTTAATTCTAAGTCAATTCTTAAGCACTAAGTATTTTTATATTACAATTTAAGTTTTTTTTTACTAACTTTAAGCAATACTAATGAAAGTTAAGCAAAAAAAGAATAGCTGTGAGGGTGTGGGATATACACCCTGATGAACTTTAAAAAATCAAAAGAAAAACCTTAAAATTTAAACAATGTTTAATAACAAAAATAAAGAACAAAACAAACAGAATTTTTAATAAAGAAAATTAACCAAACAAATGTACAAAATAAAATAAATTGAAAATGTCTTTGTTAGTTGGTCCTGGCCCACGTCAGTCAGTGTCCATGTCCCTTTGGTATGAATTGGTCCCGTTTGCCCTGATCCTTCCGTAAGTGCAGAAATCCCTTAGGAATAGATTTTCCAGTTTCCTTTATTATGGCTTCACGGAACAATGTTTATTGAAAAGGGGCTGTGTGGCACACTGGGTTCCTCTCAGGTTCCAGAGTCAATCGTCCGACGCCAGGCTCAATACTTTACAATGTCTTTCAAATAAAAATAAATATTCATAATTAATTCCAAATTCTCAATATTAATAATTATCAAACTTTCACAATGTTTTGTTCATATACTGACTTTAATTCAGATGATAAAATTGTTCCACGTGGGTCACCGCCAAGTGATATAATTCACAAAACTCTTTTTAGAGATGTGTCGTACGGTATAGTTCACTCACACGCTACGGTCTCTCTCACACACCATTACATGGAAATGGCTACTCTCTAATAAAGGAATTTCAGTAATCGACAATTCACATATTCTGTAACATTCTGTAGAGAGACTTTAAGGCATGAAAACAATGCACAAGACCCATGTGGTTTTCTATGGACAGGCCCCCTGGTAGCACTAGACAAACACGTTTATCGGCTGATGTTTTTCCCGGGAACTACTCAGAGCACGTTTAACCTTACTATATATTTAACTGTTTAAAGTAAACGAGTGGGTTCCCCACAGGGCTGCTATGTTACTATGGGAACTAAAAGAATTTAAGGGCTCCCCACAGGATTATTACACAAATTACCAGAAGAGTGAACCAAAAAGGATTTATTTACAATGTAATGAAGAATTTCAGTTTGTTATGTACAAAAGCTTAAGTGATTTTTTTATCTTAAGAATACATTAAGAAGTTTAATGAATCCTGCCCCAGGTACCTAGGAGGAGTAAGCATCCCCTCTCGACTCGACTGGTCACATCCGCTGAGAACCTTTTAAAAGACCTCAGGATAAATATAGCCAAGCCTGCAAAAAAAACTTGTCTTTAAGATTTTTTTCTTTTTTTTTTTTTTTTTTTTTTGTGAATCAGCGAGGAATTAACATTTTCTGGAAACATAGATAACTTTATTAAATTAATAGAATCTGTGTTTATCTTATTCAGCCATTCTAATATCGCTGCTTTATGCCACTGTATTCAAGAAAATGGGTTTTACATCGTATTTCACAATCATAAAATCATTCACACCCATAAATGACCCATCGTCATAAAGTGTATCACTAATGCATGAAATATTGCATGAAAACCATTTTCTAAAGAAAAATGCTTTTTATTTATAATTAATTTTTTGTTCAAAAATAGTGGATCTAAAGAAAGAAATGTGTGATTTTGTAAGGATTTGTCATAGAAGCATAACCATGCATGCAACCCATTCCACCAAAACTTTTTTTTTTTAATTTTTCATTTTATTGGCAACAAATCCTTGCCGACAGTATAAAACTTTAATGTAAAAATCTAAAAATAATCTAACCCGCTGTCCTTATAGTAACAGTTATTTCATCCATTCTAGCTTTAAGGACATGACAAACTCGCTTCTTTCTTATAATTCATTATATAAATTTTCCTTTACAGTCTTAAATTGTAGCAAACCATTATATATGTATGTATTAAATATATCATAATGTATAGGAATTTTTTTTCTAATTTTTTTCAATTTTAGTTCAGAAGAACTTTGAAGAGAAGCAAAGAATATATGAATTGAGGTTGGCAATAACAGAGTTTTTCAAACCGTTAAACAACCTAGAGGAGTGAGGTTTCATTTGTTCCAGTGTTGCAGTGAAATTTTGTATTACTAATTTCAGCTGCATTATTAAGCATAGATTATAATATACAGTATAAATTTTGAAGATTTGTATTAAATATATAACATATACATGTATCAGTCTTATATTTTAAGAAATAATTCTTCCTCGTATAAAACTAGTTTGATTGCTGTGAACAATTTTACTAAGATGTTTTTTTATGTTTAATTAGCTATTATAATTACCAATAGGGAAATTATAGACATAAATAGGAAGAGTTATAAAATAATCCTGTCATGTGAGACCTCCTTAAAAAAGTTTTAAAAAGTCTTTCATATTCATTGATCCTCCATATGTCAGCTTCTAAAAGTTATTAGATATATTCAACTTTTGTCAGAGAAATGGTTGCCCTGTTCCTATTTTGCATTCTTAAATTGACGTTTGAGCTTGAATACTGTTCGCCATATATTTCATCGTATTTCTTCGATATCTATGTAATTCATTCTTAATAATTAAATTTACGACCATTAAATGAGAAAGATATGGAGATAACGAACAGTATTCAATCTCAAAGTCCATAAAACAATACAAAATATGAACAGAGCAAAGACGGACCACCGAAACATCAGATGTGGGATCAGGTGCCATGGAGGAGTAAGCATCCCCTGCTGACCGGTAACACCCGCCATGTGTTCTCTGTCATGATCAGGAAATAACTGAAAAATCCGTCGTCAATTCAGTGTATAGATAATGGACTAACAGTATGAAAAACGTAAGTCAGCATTTGACTCAATGATAAATTGTATATGCTGACAAGGTCATTGTATCGACCATAGAACTTTCGAAATGATGACTTTAAACGAGACTGATGATATTCTTGTTTCATCAACTTGTTAGTCAATGATTGACATACTAATTGTTAATCCATTATTTATAAACATTTTTCCGGTATTTCCCGATCATTACAAGAAGCACACGGCGGTTGTGACGGTCAGCAGGGGATGCTCACTCCTCCGTGGCATGTGTTCCCACCTCTGATATTTCGGAAGTCCGTGTTTGCTCTGTTCCTATTTTGTACTGTTTTATGGACTTTTGTTATTGAAAACTGTTCGTTATTCTCCATATCATCCTTCATCCATTTTACCTAAAATTAAGTTCCGATGTATTGGTGATGTATGGACTTGTAATTAGATGTAGTATAATGTATTGTAATTAACCATGTACCTTTGGAAAGGGTTTATATAAGCAATATCTGCTGCTCCATCCATTTATGTATTATTACATTATAAAATTTGTTCAAATCAAATAAAAAAGGATTCCGATCTAAATACGATGGATTCTTTTTCGAAGTAAATGAATAACTTCCATAAAAAGTTATAAAGAGTTTCAGTATAGTCTTTTTGAAGCAGTGCTCTCTGGTTTAAACGCACTGCCTATGCACGAATCACGTGATTTAAGCTGCTTTGAGACATTGACAGTTATCGGTAATGCAATATAAAAAGTTAGTATGAAAAATGTAAGTTAGCATTTGACTCAATGATAAATTGCTTTTGCTGACAAGGTCATTGTATCGACCATAGAACTTACAAAATGATGACTTTAAACGAGACTGTTGATATTCTTGTTTCATCAACTTGCTTGTCAATAATTTACCTCGTTATAGAAATTGTTCTTACGTAGAGCAAGCTCTTGCGTATCGAATCAACTGAGATATACAGCTCAGCGCACTTTTTAAGCTCACATCATTTTTCGCACAAATTAAGGTCACATTGTTATAATTCAAAATTGTGTAACGTGACAACAAAATATATTTTAAAAGTGATTTATAACTAAATTTTGATCTTATTCCATTACTTGAAACATAATTCACACATAATACTTGGTAGGAATTTTATATACTCTTGGATGATAGATTATGAGAGTTTCCAAATGGTTTTTTCATGGGTTTCTCGTCAAGTGCACTCGTCTTTTCATCTGTTCATTTTAAATCATATTTTGTCTTGCCTTAATACAGAAACAGTGCAGTTCATGTAAATTCTAAATTTTCTGTACATTAATATGATCCTAAGTCGCAAGATGATAGAAGTATTTCTTATCTATTTGACTGCTTTCCATGTTAAAAAAGATGGCATTTTTCCAGTTAACTTTCTGAAATCTGGCATCATGAAATATACCTTCCAACGCAAAATTTCTTAGTTTCAGACCATAAATGTAAAAGAATTTTCTATTTTGATAATAACAATTTACTATTTTGAAAGATAATATAACTTTATTATCCTATACGTTGACATTATTACTTTATGCAGTTGTGTCATTTTTCGGAGCTGCATTTCGACAAAACCAAGACAAGTATGGAAAATGTGCAAAATAATTAGAGAAATATTCATCTGTAAGAAATAAATTTGAACATTTCAACCAAATAGTATCAAAAATGTTTGATTAATTAATTAGTAATTACCAATGGTAGAATCATACACATTTAACATCATACAATTTATAAACAAATTCCCTTTTAGAACATCGAGGTTTAAAACTTAAGATAATGATTTTAGATAATAGACACTTTTAACATGAAATATTTAATAAATGTAAGGGTTATCTATCGTACTGAAGCTCGATAATTTTATGTTTTATTGCACGAAAAATGTTACTTTAATTTGTGCGAAAAACCATGTGAGTTTAAAAAGTGCGTTGAGCTGTATATACTCCGTACGCAGGTGATGAAAGTATATATATTGCTGCATAAGTAAGGGAAGTTGACGATAGAAAAGTTAAAGTCATCACGTTTATCATATAGCTTGGTTGTTAGATTACCACTAACGTCTTTTTCAAGTAAAATATCCAAGTATGAAACATATGTGTAAGACTCTGTGGTATCTTTTATCTCAAGCACACCAGGATATATCGTATCGACGTAGGAATGGAAATTACCATTGTTAATTGAAAATACGTGGTCGATATATCTAAATGTCGATTTGAAGGCCACAGCAAATGTTTCTTTCTTTTCACGTATAAGATATTGCACAAATTCTGCTTCATATGAATATAAAAATATAAACATCTCTGAACCCCAAGATCACTCAGCAGTGCAAACTGAACACACATAAGTCCACACAGCATGGGCTATATAAAAAACACACACCCAAGATCACTTTACATGGATAAACTACTCTCGGCGTCCAGACCTCATCTGAGAAATACTAGCCAACGCCCAGTATAAATAACTGACCAAACTAACCAAATGGGTTCGACGAGAATCCTTAGATAAATAAAGAAATTCCTATTGTCAAAATAAAGGTAATTACCTCCAATACTAAAAACCAAAAAAATATTAACATTGACACAATGGTACTTGTGATACGTACCAATTGGGAGACCTTTGATTTTGTACTTAATTTAACTATGGACTTTTCCTTTTATCAGATCAATACATGTGGCTCGGGACGGGTGTGGACGGTAAAAAAGGGATGTTATTTTCCATTCCCCCCAGGCACCCAATATCACCTCCGGAACTCCATTGGGTTCCGTGTTCATGCCATGTTCAAAGTTTTGTTTGTTTGAAATTGGTATGAGATCGATCACTATTTGTCATCTTTATCCTTTTTCATAGACGAGAAAAAAAATAGCTTTAAATATTAAACGTGCTAAAATATCGTGACTGTAAGGTTATCATATAAGTTGAAATTTTATTTCGTGCTCAATTTTAATGTGGCAGTATTTTGATTTAAATTTAATAGTTTAATTTATTTCTATATATTTGAATAGGTTATAAGTAAATAGAAAATGGCTAAGTTCGGTACAAAATCAAGAAGACGAAGCAGTGCTACATCTTGTTTTTGCCCAACATGGAATAATTGTGATTGTGGAATGGATTGCCTTGGAAAACGAATCAATGCATCATTACAATCTACACAGACAACTTAGTCACACATGATTCTCATATGAGTATCATATGATTCTCATATGAATGGTTTCATATGAGAATAATAGAAAAAGGGCATCATATGTGAATCATACGAAGCAAATCATATGATTTACATATGATCCACATATGTGAATCATATGAAAATAACTACATATGATTTTCATATGAATGATTTAAGTGTGTTTCAAGCCATTTACATATGAGAATCATATGAAAAGGGCATCATGTGTAAATCATATGAAACACTTATGTGTGTTCTCTTTCAATATTTTTCACATTCTTGTACACATTTAAAAATCAGATATTTCTGCTTTAGATGAAAATTCATTACATTACAAACATATCTGGACACATTGACTGGGAACCAAAGCGTCTGAATAAATGAGGCTCCACTGTACATGTACAAATGAATAACATGATTAAGTCATGTACTTGTATAAAAATACCATATGACATGAAAGTGTCCACAGCAAAATTGAAACATCAGCAATAACATTTGTCATGTATTCTCTATTATAAATTTATGAAAAATCAAGTTATTTGATATTCCAGCATACATATAAGAATGGGAAATCTTTACAGGTCAAATTCAGACAAAATTGTGTACATCCTCCCCATTTCATAATTATTCTATATATTTCCTTGTTCTTTTTCCTTTTGTATCTTTCAGTATATTTTCAGTTGTCCTCCCTCTGATCTGACCATTTTGAAAATCTCTTTGAACTGTACCAAAAATGCAAATCCACCAGTTTTCCCCTTCCTAAACAATTTCTTTGTGGCACAGAATGGTCTCTACAAAAATTTCAAAAATAAAAATAAAATGATTCTAAAATTACAAAATCAATTCTACAAGTTATATTAAAATAACTTATCAGCAAACAAATGTATTCCCAATTCTCTACAAGTTATATTAAAGTATCTTATCATCAGCAAACAAATGTATTCCCAATTCACCGACACAGATTTGATAAGAGATAAAACTAATGTTATATATGTTATACAAGGTGTTTTGTGGAATCCTATGATGTAATTTGCAAGACAATTACACTGTTAGAAGATATGCTTCATAATAAAATTATAAAAATCATTTTTTTTTATTTTGACAATTGAATTGAATTTTGCAAGACAATTACACTTTTGGAAGATATGCTTCATATCAAAATCATTAAAAAAGCATTTTTTTATTTGACAATTAAATTTGGAATGTTCAAATAATATATATTAATTCAAATTGCCTAAAATAAATAAGATTCTGACACAAATAGGCAGAAAAACAGACTTTGTGATTCAAGGATATCCTAGACTTTGTTGGGAAGAATATAACAAAGTCTATTAAACAGTGTGTAGTTACCTTAACTTTGAAGCAAGCCTTGGATCTTTGGATTTTTTCTTATGAGAGGCTGACTGTATATTGAACCTGTAAAACAAATATTTACACAGTAGATATTTTCTAAGCATATCTAAAACCTAAACTACAAAAAGAGAGAGTACAGGTTTGTAGGTTCTCAATTGTCCTAAATATCTTACAATTTACCTGAAACTAGGTTCTCTAGTGTTGGAAAAAAATTATAAATGTCATTGAATACATAGATGTAAATATTCAATGGATTAGCTAACTGATGTACTTTCAACACATAGTCACATGCACATGTATTTGTACCTTGAAAGTTGCCACTGTTATTATTAATTTTTTGCTGAAATTCAAAAATTCAATTTACCCCCTGAAGTAATTGCATAGTTTCATAGCTTTTAAAGCAAGAAAATTCTATTCATACTTTCCATATTTAAAAAGCGCATTTACAATTAAAAAATGTTTCATAATCACATGATAATGTTGAATAAAATTTCTATATTATTGAGTTGAATTTATTTTTGATGAAGCTGTGCAGACAATGTAGAATTATAAAGGAACAAAAAGAAATTATCAAGAAATATTTTGTCATAAAGAAGTCATTACAGATGTACACTTTCATTTTTTTATTGCAATATTTTTACCTTTAATATCGTGATGGTGCAATCTCGTCTGTCAGAATCAGCTTCAGGATCAATCGCCAGCAGCTTTGGGCTTCGTGGACTTCATAAATAAAGCAGCACTGTGACACTGAACTCAAGTTCTTGAATGCATCTATATGCCATAAAAACAAACATTTGTCATTAAGTCGATGAAAGAATCGACTTGATAACGATCTCAACATACAATTTACAAAACGCCAACTGCTATACAGGGTTTCTACTTTCACTTTCAAATCAGTACGTAACAAAAGTCAAAACAAAAAGAAAACAAAGTAATGCCTTTAGCCTAACACGTAAATTGTTAATGTGAACATTCATTGAGAAACAAATTTATCCGAAATATACTTACAGATCATTAACATTATGTAGGTTTGCGAAATGCATTAATTCAACAATTACAATTGATGAGAGTATTATGGAAATAAATTAATACGAACCTGTAACCGTTATGAAAGGATATTTAAACAATATGAAGTAAAGGTCTTTATAAAAAATTGTTAAGAGATAACTTACTTTTTTCAACACCCAGCACTTCTGCTGTAGCAATGACGTCAAACATGACGTACACTTTCATCCGATAAAAATCAAAACCGGTCCGGAAAAAATACGGATTTTTTTTTATTTTACTCAAGTAATAAACCAAACACAAAAGATTTGAAATAAAAAGCAAATTAATTTATTCTTTATCTATTTTATCTTGGAAATACATTATTACAGAAAAAAAAATTGTGAACGATTTTTTAAGGGAAAGGGGGGGTGTTAAACAGAGTAGAACTTTACATAAGTAATTTCTAACAAACTTTTGAATTAATGTACATTTAAATTAGAATTGATATATATTATTGAAATTGCAATTTTACTTGCATATACCAAGGGCAAATTAGTGAACACTGTTTCATATGATACTCATATATATGATCACTGTTTCATATGATTCTCATATGATCACTGTCAAAATATTCATATGATTTTTACCTGAGTATAACAAGGGCAAATTTGTGAATATGTTTTCATATGATTCTCATACGATCAGTTTCATATGATTCTCATATGACAAATGTCAAATATACATATGATTCTCATATGCAGGGCCTTTCATATGAGAATCATATGTAAATACAATCATATGATACACATATGTGTAAACATATGATTCTCATATGATTTGCCACATATGATTCTCATATGATTGTATATACATATGATTCTCATATGATCCACATTTGATCCTCATATGAAAGGCAATGCATATGTGGATCATATGTGGCTAAATTGCCTATGTATATCCGACGAAATTTAAAATAACGGTCCACATCATCATCTTTTACAATTGAAGATATTTAGGGATGTAGTTTCTCGATTTCATACAAAGATTTTGAAAGATATAGAAAAAATAGAACAAAAAGAAAATTCAAAAAGCTCGTCATTTGTTAGCGTCGATAGTATTAACAACATTTGCAAATAGCACGCGAAGTGGTGAAAGGCGTTTGTCCCCTATTGGAGAGGATGGAGGAATTCATGTTCGAGGATTACAAAATCCAACAGTCAACCTAATCCAAATCAACCTGAAGTCAAAAATGAACCTCAGTCAACTTACCAGAACGAAAGGCAGAATTGTAACGACATCGAATTTCAACCAATATTCTAAACTGAAGAACAGCAACTTCACCAAAGCGATGATCGGCGAAATTACCACATGGAAGATCATTATCCTTACAACTCTGAAGAGAAGTCGACTTTTCAAAGTAATAGTCCTATCAAATATCCGAATCACCTTCATCTGACACATATGAGCACAATAGTGAAAGACGTGAATGGAAGGAGCCGATATCTATGCTTAGAATTGATAATATCAAATGTATCAAGGATTTATTTGCTACATCTGACTGGTTATATTTTTCTTATAGCTCAAGGTTTATTACAAGTAAAAAAAAATCCAGAATGGAGTGCAACAAAAAATGTCTGCTATAAAATTTTATTTTAGATTTTATAACAGCGACGTCAAACGTTTTATATTTTACCAATTCCCGAGAGAAAAGGGTCAAGAAATTTGAAGATAACCACGAATCGTTGTTTCTATATAGTTTACCACAATGGACTCCATATGGCTTAGCTATGTGGGGTGATGACAAAATTTATATTTGTATGTTTAACAAAGATAAAAGAAAAGAAAAGGTTGTTCTGTTTAAATTCAAGAATTTCAAATTGGTTGTGGGAAAAGAAATTGAGCACAAAAAAGACAAATCTCAATTTTTTTCTCATCCAAAATTTATAGCTGTAAAAAGCAAAGGTGGTGTGTGTGTCTCGGATCATTCGAAAAAATGCGTGATCTCTGTTACTGCTAATTGTACAACACGCTTTAAATATGACGGTGCATATTCTTGCAAAACTAGTTCATTTGATCCAGAATGTTTATTCTGTGATAAAAAACACAACGTATATATAGCAGACAGGAATAATAACTGTGTAGATATTGTAAATCCAAATGGACATTGGTTAAATTCAATACTGTATAGCAGGTTAAAATCGCGGTCGGAAAAGATCGCGATTTGCTCAATTTTCAGCAAATCGCGATCGTTTGAATTCGCGGAAAGGTAAAAAAAAAAACATACATTTCTTAAACAGTACTTGCAAGCATTTTTCTTTAGGTATATATTGTGTAATCTGTTATTTCCAATCTCTATGTTACGAAAGTCTGTTAATGTATATCGCGCATATCAGTCAGGAAAAGCAAGTCTATATACGAGGGGCGTTCATAAAATAATGTCATTAGCTCCATGACATACAACATAGAAATCATATGACATTAAGTTTGACTTTTTATAATTATTTAACCTTTAATAAATTGATAACAGTTTATGTGACCACTTTTCATCGCATAATTTCATTGTGGGAAGCTGGAAAACAAGGGCTACTCGAGACATTGCGTTAAAAATGAATGGTCAAGAATCATTAAATTAGAGTAAAATTGAACGCGTCATTAAAGCTGCTGTAAAACTTGTTAATTTCCCAACAATATATTAACTGAAATATGTGAAATTTACAGCAACTTATGTCTGTTTCATACACACATGAACAGGTGGATTTCAATTAACAAAATTTATATAATGGTCATCAAAAATGGGTACCCTCCTTGTCAACAAGGACATACAATAACTAATGTATATTAGCGATAATTCAACAAATTATCACAGATTTATGTTTTATTGACTTTAAGTTACATAGCAAATTTGATAGACATCATATCGGGGGTAGTTCACACAGTTTTAAAGAAACATTTGATTGTAAAAAAAAAAGTTTAATACTCAAATGTCACCCTGTATTTATAAATATGAGTGAAAACGAGAGCGTGTAGAAAATCTATACAATTATTTTTTAAAAAATCAAAAATTGTTCTTATCCACGTTTTTCTGAAATTCAAACAGATCATGAAACTTGAATCCATTTTGCGTTGAACCCTTAAAACAAATTTAGAATAAGAAGTCCTTGACAAAACTGCAAAGGCCTAAGAAGAGCAAAAATTTGCAAGAACACAAAAACAGTTTTATACGCTATTTTCTTAAATATTAGCGGTCTTGTTGTTCAAATACATATATAGGGAGGTAGTTCAATTTCTGGAGGAGTCTAATAAGCAAAATATTAGCCAACAAATTGAAAGGTTTATGAGAGGAAGGAGACAGAATGAGGAATTCACTACATTAAATGTCTTCCTGACAGCGTCCAAACCCACAGGCCATGAAGAGTAAAGGAGTTTTGGGGTTAACAGAAAGTTAATGCTTTGTCACATCAACAATATTCGCCAGATCTTTCAGTCTTTGACTTGTTTCATTTCCCAAACTTAGGAAAACACCTTTCAGAAAGAAAAAAACAAGCACAGCAAATCATAGGATCCGTCATTTTCCAGTATACGAAGGGTCATACTCAAAACTGTGTTCTAAAAACAATTAGAAATTGAATAAAAATGTTACGGACATGTCTTTTAATTAAAAGATAATATTTTAGTTAAATCATTAAGACAAAATCATAGAAAAGTGGTTTTTGTTTGTTTCCGAGCCCTGATGATTGATTATTTATTGAACGCCACTCGTATTGTGTCAATTTTGAGTCCGATTGAATAATAACGAGACACCGGACTGATCCCGATTAGAACTCAAAATAATGTTACGCATTCAGATTTTTTTTTATTCCGAGTCCAAATAAAAAAAAATATACAGTAGTCAAATTGTTGAACTTTTAATCATATAATTGAAATAAATTAATTGTCTTTACCCTGTTTACTACGCAAGTGCCTTGATTAAAGGTAATGACTGAGTGATTCACACGGGTGAAATTATACAACCTTGTTTTGTTAGATAATTACATTGCACGTCTACTAGATGGCAAAATTACCGTTATGTATTAGCTATAGAAATTAATTCAACAATTAATAAGCTTTAAAAACACCAACAACTATGTGTTTGTAATTGATCCATACACTCGCATAATTATAAAGACTGTCTACATCTAATCTCAGATGATAAAATTTCAGTTTATCCTTATAAATCTTTTTCAAGAATTATTCACTGTATGTTGAATTCGCGGAATTTCTTTTTCCGCGAATATAGCGAATATTAACTCCGCGAGTTAATTTCCTGCTGTACAGTATACATACCTTCTTCAACAAAATGTGTTGCTTTAAATAAAGAATATATTTAAGAAATAAGGTATCATTTTTTGAGTTTTACTGAGATGTAAAACGGGTTGGTCACGTGATCAAATCCATCCCATAAAGCCCTTCGGGCTTTATGGAAGATTTGATCATGTGCCAACCCGTTTTACATCTCAATAAAACTCAAACAATGATACCTTATTACTTATATTTACATTTGTGACTTATTCATACTTTAAATTTGCCTGATTGTTACTATTAACGTGCGAAATGCGTTATTTTTTAAACCCAACGGCATGTATGTAATCCACTAAACGCGCGTCGACCCTTTATGACGTCACACAGAGATTACGTCGAACGTTTATCCAAACGCACATCTATGGCCTCTTGACCCAGTACCTGTATTTATACAGTTATAAAAACGCTTGCTTTCAGTAGTGTTATATAAAGGAAAACATCTGCAAATGTAAATATATATATATATCACAATGGATATTGAAAACGATGTCGTCCATATCCGTATTATTCCTATTCCAGAGCTGCGTATCATTTATACATTATAAAGTGGGACAAGTCTGTAATGATATTGAAATGTTTATCTTTATTAGCTTTGACATTTATAATTGTAGTAAAGTTACCTCAATTAAATTTGGTTATCAACAAACTCTGAAACACTGAGCCTTTCCCTTTGATATATGTTTCCTGTATTTTGCACGTGTTGTAATTCTATATGCTGAGATTGCAATTTTAATGCTTATTATCAATAAAGTTAGTTGAAAGTCAGAGTCTCATGTGGTATCATTACATGGTGTCAGAATGGACAAACTTAACCCGCCACCAATTATCTCACTAGAAGGGAACTTAAAAGAAATTTGAACAATTATTTCAAATTTATCTAACAGCGAGTGGAATGGACGACAAAGAAGACAAATTAAAAAACAAATATTTTGCTTCATCAGATGCTGTGGAGATATATAACACTTTTGAATTTGAGGAAGCCAGGGACAAACTTACGTCTGTCCTGGATAAATTCAAGGATTACTGCAACCCAAGAAAAAATATAATATTTGAACTGCACATTTTCAACTCAAGAAGTCAAAGACCAATAGAACCTATTGACAGTTACGTTACGGATCTAAAAAAAAAAAGGCCAAGTCATGAGAATTTGGCGGGATCAAGGATTCGTTAAATCGAGATAGAACCATACAGGGCATTAAAAGTGACGGCGTAAAGAGTCGACTATTAAGAACTCCGGATCTCACCCTTGAGAAAACCGTGGAAATTTGTCGAATTAAAGAATATTAAGGAAAATTAAAGAATGTAAATATAAGCATTGAATTCAATTTCAATAACGCGCGGTATTCAATTTGTCGGCACGGCCAGGTGTGTTATAGGACCGAAGATATCCAAAAAGATGAATTCAATGCTTAAAAAGAACAATCATTTTTTTCTAAAATGTGTCGAAACACAATGCCACGGGAACCACATGAATTTAAAAATTCGAAGCGTTCAGTTAATACAGTGAATACCCATGAATCGGACAGTGAGTACAGCGTTGACACTGTCGCCATGGAAAACTCAAAAAGGGAATGGACGGCGCATATCAAAATAAAATGTATTTCACTTTAAAAATTAAACTGCGTCACGTACCTTTTTAATGCGGTAAGTAAAATTCGAAATGTTATTTCCTAGTTAAATATTAATTTGAAATTGCACATGGTTGCAAATTATTTGCCCCCTCCCCCTAGCACAGTGATAAGAGTGTTTCCTAGAAGTTGATTTTGAATCCCAAGTGGAGACAGGTCTTTCGGATGAGACCGTATACACTGACGTTCAGTGTCACAGTAATAAATGCTGGTACAAAAACGATCCCTCTCTGCTGAATAACCTTGAAAGTCGAGTATAGATCTAAAATTTGCGTCCTGCATCGGTAAGTAATGATAAGTTAGTGAAAAATTCTCTAGATGGGCGCTAATTGAACAAGCCAGAATCAAATAATACATGAATTTCTGTCTAACTGTTTGTTGACAAAATGAAAAAAAAATCTGCCTTTTAAATTTCCTTGATAAATTTTCCGCCTTTTGATTTTTCCTTAATTTTTCTCTTTACTCCGGTTCTATTGAAGAGAAATAAATTTGTTTGCTGACTGCTCCTATTTTGTATTGTTCTTATACATTTTTTTATCTTGAATACTGTTTGTTATATCTATATGTTTCATCCAAGTCTTAACATTCCAAAGAAAACCATGTCATAACTTCGGGAGTTTACTTCTTTTAAAAAATTACAGCCATTTTCCCCGACACCCATGACGCAATGAATAAACGGTAATTTGTGAATTCGTTCCTTCGTCGTTTCGCCGACATAATTTGATGGTGGCCGCTTTTAATACAAATTCTAGAATACAATCTCTTTAGTTTGATTAATGTCCTAAAATAAAATGTGGAAACGTAACATTTATTTCCCGTCTTTTGAGATTGATTTTTCTTTTTTTATTCATTTTAAAATAAGGTTTCTCTGCACATGCACTTGTTTCAAATATATTTTTTTAAACCCATTGTATTATGATAACAAGTGTTATTATTATTACCATTAAGGAAGTTAAAGAATTATTGATAGACAGAAGTATGATATCATGATATCCTGTCAAGTGAAGGGCTTCAAGTATATTAAAAAGTAGAAGAGTCATTTATTTTCAATCTATATCTAGCCAGAAAAATGGGAAGTTATAATTGTGTAAGTTTTATTTAATATTATTCTATTTTACCGTTTAATTTACGCATCTTTCTATTACTATTGGTACTTACTAGAATGTTTCGCCAGCTTACTCAGTAAGGAATGAAAACCGGATATAGACTAGTTGGCATGTCTGTATTATCATATACCTCTCCCAACAAAGTTGGGTCATAATTCTATTAAGTCTTCTTCTCGGTATTTATGAAGATGCAACAATGAACGAATCATTAAACCCCTGGTTAGAAAGTTGATCGAAATGGCTGTATCTCTGACTGTCTTTAACGATTTGGGGGACCCATCTCATCCTCTTAAGCCAGTAGTGAAATTTAATGAGACTTTCGCAGACCAAAAAATAGTGTTATTATGCATTTCCTATTTCATTTTTTGAGCGGACACATATGTTTGGTCTGTCGTAGCAAAAGGTGGAAACTATCATTATTCCTATAACACCGAAGTGTACTTTTCTTATCCGCAACTCATCTCATACTACATTATGATTTCTAGTGATACTATCACAGATTCATCATTACATGATGCCATTGTGCGTCTCTTGTTTCACATTTGATCTGACACTTATTTCAGGTCTCCCTGAGCAAAACATGAACTATGCCATTATTATCATATATGGGGGTGGGGGTATCATTTAGCAAGGGCAGTGCTGACAGTGCGTCTTGTTAAAGACTGGAACTGTAGAAAATAATGCAATTTTCAGAAGAAAAAAATGGCGGTTATTTCCTTATTCTTATTTTAAATTTATTATATTTCAGTTGCTCATTGATTAGATATAAAGAAAAAATCACAAAATCATATTGTGATATAACTTTTACTTTTCAGACATTTTTGACTTTCTTTTGTGTCTTCGTGGCTGTTTTGGGAATAGAAAGTTGGAATCATTGCACAAGTAATCCTAATTGTCGCTGTATCCCAAAAGATAACAAAAACTATATAGCAGACTGTTCGAATCTAGCAATCACAGAGGTACCGCGAACGCGACCAGATGTCGACACTCTCAATATAGGACATAATAGAATAAGTCACATCATGCATCCGTTCAGTCCCACACTTGTGAATTTGGATATGTCTTATAACCAGCTTCAAAACTTTACTCATGACGTGTTCGCAAATTTAACACGCCTGAGAACTCTAAATTTAGAAGGAAATCAACTTCAATTGGACGACAGCGTACTCAGACCGGAAGTCTTCCGAGACATAAAAGCTTTACGTTCAATAAACATTAAGAAGACTATAGTCAAAGCACAGAGCACATTTCCATATAACATGTGGGGCCAGCTGTCCTCGTTAGAGACTCTCCGGATTGACGTCATATCATCGACACAATTTGGTCGACAGTTTCGCTCATTAAGGTCATTGACTGTCCTGGATGTATCAGGCTGCTCCGGGTTTTGCTCGATAGAAGAAATTGGAGAAAAGTTCTTGGAAAATCTGCCTCACTTGGAGATTCTGGATTTGTCTTGTTGTCAGATAAAAGGATTCTCAGCAGGTGCCCTGAAAAAACAACGAAATATAACGGTCCTTGATATTTCATACAATGAAAAACTTACATTTGCAAGTTTTGCAAATATAACAAGCGATTTACAGTTTTCCAAAATAAAGGTTTTCAAAGCTAATAAAATCCACTGCACGTATGGATTAGGTACTGTGATACAAATTCGTGACGTCATGCACTTTCAGAACACATCTCTTGAAGAACTTTACCTAGAGAACAACAGACTAGCTCTTGTAGAAAGATATGCTATCCGCTATTTTCCTCACACTCTCAGAATAGTGTCGCTCGTCCGAAATAAAATGTCACCTGGTACTTACTTGATGGATGTCGTGTTCTTGACAGGGATGGAATCACTTGACTTGTCCCTCCAGATGGGGTCCACGCCCATCAGCGACCTTATAGACGCTTTCACTTGTCAAAACCCTATACGACCTTCCAATAACACAATAGAGAGTCATTCCAACAAATTCAACACAGAACCATTTCAAATGAGATACAATACTAGTATCACCGAAACTCTGCCAAGAAATTTAAGAACGCTCATACTGAGAACATGTGGCATACGTCTGGAACTGTTTAGGATTCTTGTTAACCCGTCCAATCAGTTATCCCATGTTGACCTTTCACAGAACGTAATTACCAGCTTCACGGGGCCTATTATAGGATTTAATAAACTGAAATATTTGGACTTGTCAGATTGTCTTTGTTCCTCGCTTTCAACTGTTTTTTTTTATTTAACGACAGCACTGCAAGTCTTAAAGCTTAACAAGAACCTGTTAGGTTTCAGTTTGAAAGACGATTTGGACGGAGGAACCTTTAAGAATCAGGTCAATCTTCAAGAGCTAGACTTATCGGACAACAGAATACAACGGCTACCTGAAATGTTATTCAAAAATCTAGGAAAGCTTCAAAAGCTGAATTTAAGTTCTAATTTCCTGACAGAATGGAATGTGAAGATGAGTAACATGCGGAACTTGCTCATGATTGATATTTCAGTCAATAAGATAAGGCAACTCAGTCAGGACGCCACAGTCTCTATTGCAGAAATGTTGAAAAAGAATACACATTTTAAAATTTTTCTGGCAGACAATCCTTTTGCTTGTTCATGCGATTCTCGACATTTTTTACAGTGGTCTTCCAAAAATCGCAAGCATATCTCGGACTTTCATCAGATGAAATGTAAGTTAGACAATGGAACAAGCTTTGGTTTCCAAGACATAGAAACAGTTTTACGATTGCTTGAAATTCAGTGTAAAAATTATCAAGTGTTAATATTCATAATAACTTCTGTCATAGTGTTCTTTGTGATAATCATTGTTACCGGTTTAATTTACCGGTACCGATGGAAACTGCGGTACTTGTTTTATATGACTAAAAACAAATACCGATTAGTCAGACCTATATATCGGGATACGTTTACGTTTGATGCCTTTATATCATATGCCGATGAAGACAGTGACTTCGCGGTACACGAGTCGATTTCCCAGCTAGAGGAATCAAGAGGACTGCGCCTGTGCCTCAGCAAGAGGGACTTCCGGCCCGGTACAGAGATCGCAGCTAACATTACAGAAGCCATCACCAAGAGTCGTAAAACAATCATAATTCTGTCCAATCACTTCCTGAACTCTTACTGGTGTATGTATGAATTCAATATGGCAAGGATGGAGAGTATTTATACCCGGAATGGAAAGCACGTACTGTTCATGGTTATGTATCGACACGTGACTGCTAAGATGTTGCCTTTATCAATGCTGGCCTTGGTAGAAAGTCATTCCTATATCGAGTACCCAGACGATCCTCAGGGGAACATCGTTTTCTGGGACAAAGTAGCTGATACATGCAGAAATCCCTCAGATTAAAGTAGCTGACACCTGGAAAAGCATTCAGATTAATATAACTGATACCTGCAGAAAACCTTGATTAACCACTGAGATCTGTAATAGGTCCTTAAGACAACAAATCTGAAACCTGTGATAAGCCTTCTTTATAAAAAAAAAATAGATGAAATGAAAAAAAAAAAGAAAAATCTGATTGATCTCAAGAAACTTACAAAAATACAGATTTGTGAGCTATTCATTATGCAGATGGTGAACAGCATACTCAAACTCAAAAGTCCAAAGGGACATTATATGAAATTTGGAGCTTATCAATCACGATTCTTCAAAATAATCATTTCCTGTCAACTAATCAAATCAGCGGAAAACCTATTTTAAAAGTCGTCAAGATAAGAATAGCCAAACCTGGGGAAATTTTAGATTTAAAAACACTGAATTCACGAAAAAGCTTTAAGCTCTAACCCTGCAAAAGGCTTGCAAAATAAAAATAACTGAAACCCGCCAAATGAAGACACAACGGAAACAGCCATCTTATTGATATTCTCCCTCAGTTGAAATGCAGATGTTTCTAAACATTAGAAGTTGTTGCTTAACGTAATTAAGTCATACAGGTATACCACTTTGTAAAAGTGACACCACAAAATTGAGGATCTGATTCTATGGGTTTTCCCTGCAGTTTCACATGTAGAGTGATCTGCCCTTAGATCTGAATTATAACAAATAGAAATTTACAGTATATTACCCAATTTGTAATTAATTCAAGTATTCTTAAGATTTTAAAATGCCAAGAAAAATTAATTGAACATGTTATTTAAATGTAATGTGTACATCATGGAAGTAAACAACAGTGATATCTATTCACTGATACAATGTTGTCTTAGTACATTTTTCCCTGAGGTAAATGACACGTACCATATTGAAAATTAAATACTATACAGTTGGAAAATAACTCGCGGTGTAAATATTCGCTATATTCACGGTATTTGAAAATGAATCCATGAATTAAAAAAAACAGTGAATAAGTTTTCAATAGGTATAGATAAGGGGGGAAACTTTTATTATATACCAATTCCGCGAATTCAAGAAACCGTGATTGTGTCAAAGAAGAGAAAAACGTGAAAATAACAACCAGTGAAATAAATCCTCTACTGTGAAGTCACTAATTTTCGTGGAGTCACTTTCACATTCTATAAGTATAACTATGTATTGTATGTAGATCCGATGTAATAGTGTACCATAAGATGAAAATTATAATACTTGTACACGTGAAAGTGTTATATCAATAATTTTTTTTTAATTTAAAAACAATATCAGTGACAGTTAAACACTGAATGAAAGTGAGTAAAATGTGGTGCAAGGATGGTCCAGATGTCATTGATTTTTAGTAAAACCAGTTTTTTTTTTAAATTTGATAAAGATCACAAAAAAATGGTAATTACACACAATACGTACCGCAAAGTACAGATTCATTGTTTTTAAGTATCGGTGATATTTTATTTTCTTTCATTTGTACATTTGTTGACAAGACTCATTTGTTGTATTAATTTGAAAATATCATACCATTCTATAAAGTAGTTTTTAAATTTAAATACATTTATTAAAGTGAACACTTAGAAATTTTGTTAAGTGTATAGAATAAAAATCTCTACTTTTCCGCTTAAGCATAGTTATTGACCCTAATTTTTCATTTCCTCGTACATTAATAATTTGAAACTTAACATGGTTGAAAAAAAATTTTGATCGCCCGCCTGGCACAGTGGTAAAAGTGTTTGCTAGGAGTTGAGTTTGAATCCCGCGTGGGACGTGGAAAATGGTGCTTCAAAAGAGACCGTATAAACCATGTTACTACTGCAAGTGCAGTATAATGAAAATAGACCCAATTCTGCTCAATGACCCCGAGGAGTGAGTAAAGGTCTAATGAGCCCTCAATCGATTAGTGATGGCGTTTCAATCAAGCTAGTCTTGTCCTGATTTTTAAAAAGTAGGCTAGAAATAACTTCTTACGGCAAATAATTATTATTTGGTCCAGCATACTTTTTCAACCTATTTCGAGTATGCTGAAAATATGTTGGCCTCCATGAAAATGGTGTTAAAGATGTCAAAATGGCGATTCAAAATGGCGGACATCCAATTTTTCTAATTTTCTGATAGTATTGTTCAAAATGGAGAGGTTATGTGTGAATATCTCTCACTGAGTGTAATAAAGCTTTTAAAATGATAATAGAATGCTTACATTTTTAGTTTAATTCAGAAAATTTAGTCGTTTCTACACTTAATTCGAATTTTCTCTGATTTATTTGTCGATTGTTTCTACACTCTGCTTTGGTAAGGATTTTACATTTGCAAATATCCATACACTGCAGATTTGTATTTTTACCTCTGCATCTCACTATTCTATAATTGAATAATGGTGCAGCTGTAACTTAAATTTAAATTTTCGGAAAAATCTCCGCAATGGTCCATCCATAAGGCCAGATAAAATTAATCATTAGATTCTCATCCTAATTTGCTAAAAAATTGGGGCGGATGGGCGGATTTTATTTTTTATACATATTAAGTTATAAGTATCAACACAACATAGACTCTTGGTACCCTTTTTTTATTATGTTAATGCCAATACGAATAGATTTTGTTCTTTCCATATTCTTTATTATATCTAAAGAAGATTCTTGTTTTAAAAAATAAAATATTTATTGCCGGTTAAATAACAAATTATCAGGTACACACATACGGCACACGCCAAACAAAATGAGGTGGGGATATCAATAAATTGTGTATGCGTGACTTCTCATCGGCCTTAATTTCCCCAAATACCTTTTAGTTTTACCAATAAAACCGTTTTCTGTAAAATATCATAGATTTCCACCTTCCTTAAAAATTTGATCGTTCTTGAGACTTGACATGTTCGACATTAAAATAGGTCATATCTGCAAAATTTATAAATTATTCTAATAAAATATTCTAGTGAGAAACCTAGAGGCCTGAATGGTTTAACATTTAACATTTCCCTAGCATTCAACATTCTCTAAAGTCTGCCAACGATGTTTTATTTATTTATTTTTTTTATCAAAGCATCACACACACTTCTTACAATCTTACAACTTACGTCATGTTAATTTTTTTTTTATTGGTTCTCAAAAAACCTATGCTAGCTGTTATTGAACTCTGATTTAAAAACCATGTCACTGTTCGATTTTCTTGTTGCCATTTTAAAAACCACGCATACCTTAAGGTATTCCAATCCTCAGGTTCTAAAAACCAGTCATTGACTTACTGAAAATGCTCACAAGAATGTCTCTGAATTCTCAAAATATTTTGTTTTTACCCATGATAATTCTTAAAAGTTCATGTTTGACCTATAGGAGAAAACTATTTCCCGGAAAAAGTGACATTTAAAAATTAATCTTTATTTGCTGTTTTCTATCGTGTACAGGGTGTTTCACAATATATGTCACACATCTAAATGGGCATAATCTAAATATCGAACATGTTACCAAAACTACCAAAACACTCTAGGTAAGCATATTGATTTAAAATTATGATATTGCAACGCATCGGGAAGATTATGATATACCAATTAAAAAAGGTAGATCGCGGGTTTGCTGACGTCACAATAGGATTTGACGTAAAAAGCTTACCGCCTTCAGATTAGCAAGCAAAAAAAAAAAATTTCAGCAGGATGCAGTAAAAAATGAAACATATATTAAAGTTTGTTTGGTGTATTTAAATAGATATTTTCATATGTAATTGAGAATAAATTATGTTGAGATCAAATTGGTCTTTACACTATAAGTAGTTTTAACGCTGATATCTGTTGTGTGTACGTACCTTTCTAAAATACTCAGTACCAAAATGTTACCTAATTGTTGAAACAATACGAGGACATATCCACCGCCGGAGTTTGTGGCGCCTGCCGTGCAGTTAATTTTTTTTTTGTACATTTTTATAAATTTTGTTTTGAAAATATTCAAATGTTGACGCACGATACACGACGCACAACGACGGACGAAAACGGATAGCAATAGGTCACCTGAGTTTAGATGTTGTTTTTTTTCTTACATCCATGTACATTTGTTAGAGTTTTTCTGCACCCCTATAGCCTTATGTTTACTGCGAGAAAAAGAAAACACATGACACTGAAATACTAGTTGTGCCACGCTGTTGGTAAACTATGGCAATGATTATACCGGGAAAATTGAACTGCTTTATTTTAAGTGAATTGTTGATTAATTCAATTTTTTTGGAGCCATGCAGGCATATGAAAATAATGACGTCGCACCACGTAATATAACGTCATGATGAAAATATAATATTTCCGATGAAAAATTGTAAAACTCTACAGCTTTTTTGCAAGAAATTAAGCCAGAACACATATTAATTTTTTTTGATAAATAGATTCTTAATTATATTCAGATTCATTGTATCAAATAATATAAAATTCGTCTGCTTCGTTTTAATGTAATGATAATGGTTTTGAAATGCGTATATCGGCAGAACAGGGACATTTTACTATATATTACATTGAAAAAGCGTCACTAGTTCTCATCAACATTAGCGCTTTTAAATTACGATTACAATCTAACCACGCAGACGAATCTCAAAAAATTTCGGAAAGAAAAATTTAAAACGAGAAGAATTAGCCGACAAATTTTTAGCCTATGTTTTCAGGCAGACAGTTAACCCGCGATCTACCTTAAGTAACTGACGATTAAATCAGTGATGTCATAATTTCAGCTGTTTTCAAAATGGGATACAACTTGAAGCAATAATTTGTTGTAAACTTTTATTGTTATTGCAAGAACGTTACCCTAAATATTGTACAGGGTGTGATGATGAAAAATATCCAGACCAGAAATTGCTGTCTAGTTTTCATATATTAATAAGAATAATTAGAGAGTTTGTACTAAATTATAATGTTAAGATGAAAGACATTTAAATCCTGCCCCCCCCCCCTACCAAAAATCAAGAAGAGATGAGAACAATATCAAAATGAAGTCAATCATGAAAGTTAGATCCGGGGTAAGTAAATGGATTGTCACAATGCCAGTAAGGGTATCTTATGTATTTAGAAATCTAAATTTGTGTGCCTGCATACAAGATTTCAGCATCTAAAGCCAATTGACGTTCAGAGCCTGTTAAAGTTTGCAAGATTGACTGAAAGGAAGAGCGAAAGAAGTGGACACTAATTCACATACGGGTAGTTCGGAACCGACACAATTTTATTTCAATGCAACTTTCAATAAAAATACATATGAACTTTGGGGGTTCTAAAAAGCCAAATATAAACAAGAAATGTCTCAAGTACCCTGTGAAGCTTACAAACAGTGGTCAGAAATTTATAAGCATTAGTCTCTGAAGTTATTTAAGACAATGTTGTGAAAACACTTGGAGAATAACATTTTAGGATTTGTTGCCATAGTAAACTAAGTGGAGATTGTTGGATACTTCTGACTCAAAAAAATAATTTTGAATATATGCTGATTAAAATGTTATATAAAATGTATATGTATCTTTTGTTGGCATTTATCTATCTGTCTGTAGATGTGTGACATATATTGTGAAACACCCTGTGTATATGTTTAATTTTTTGTATTTTATACCTAAAATTTTTATAATTTACAACTTTACAATAAACCTCCGAAGTTGGCCGAAGCAGCATTCCATATTGTCCGTTTAATCCCAGATGCAATGAATAGAAACAAATATTAACTTTAATCACATTTATTGTAAAACAATGATTACATTTTATGGCAAGTATTTGTCACAATCTATTTATACATAGATGTAAATACCCCGGAGGAATCCAGGGACTCACTACCTGCCGACTGACCTGGCGCGATAGCGCACCCATAGGTGACTGTGGTGGGAACAGACCTCTTGGAACCCACAAGAGTGAATGCCACATGGAATGAATGAATTCAAGTTCTGACCCAGGTCCTCACTCTATACAGTCATTTAGGGTATTTCGGGTCATCGGGGTTTTCTTGACACAGTTCGCGCAAAACGTAAAAGAAAAACAAGAAGCTATTGCAGTCACGTCCAGCAAGGTATGTTATATGCATTCACACAGTTACAAAGGAAAATATTGAAAATAGATGTCTTAATTAATACGTTGATTAATTGGCGTATGTTTACCGATCATAGAATTTTGCATGTCAAAA